CCTCAAACACATATTGGTTGCCCTTAAAACAGCACAAATTGTTCTTGATCTTATCCAACTTTACTTAACTGGATATAAATCTATTGCTTTTACATGATTTACATTATTCTGTGCCAAAGTTGGCTACTTTCTATTCCATCTGGAATATGGAAACTAGACTCTTTATCCTACATGTACCAGAAAGTAAGATTATTATATTTTGTGTCTAGCTTTTCTTTCCAGACTCTGATAAGTTACATGTTAGTTATGGCCGCCAGAGGTAAGCAGCACTTTTTATTAAGTATTACAAATATAAACTGGAATGAAAATACAGTAGGACTATTTCTTTGGCTGTTTGATATTGATTAAAATCAGCTATGGTAACATTAATTTAAGTTGAGTTTGAGACCAGTGATCAAAACAAATCTTTTAAGACTTCAAAATTCACCAAAATAACGCAATTTTGGCATACAAATAAAGAGCGTATAGCCTAGCCAATAGCTTGTTATGAAAGTCTGCATATCCGAAGCTTAATCCCATACTACCGTTGAGTTTTGACTTGCTCACAAAAGTGAAATACTACCTTGGAATATGTTACTTATGAGACTAGTAATGATATACAGTAGGCTACCTTAAGCGTGAAACTGTTGAAAATATTTACTTTAGGCCTAAATTGTCTTTAAATGTCCTACCGGTTAAATTCTTGTTCACATGCTGACTGTTTTTCAAGTATTAACTGAAGGACCTGATTTGATACAACAACTTGTTGTTTTTTGAGTTGAGCCAAGTCCTTTTCAAGTACTTCACTAAACAGTTCATCTGGAAGTTTCTGAAACAAAATTCAGATTAGTAATCCATCCATACCCATGTAATATACTGAGATTTTTTTGTAACTGGAGTCCCTGTGGAATTGTTCGACCTATCATCATGATGTTAGTATCATCGGCTGCTAAGCGTAATGTTATTTCTCCCAGTAATCACAGAAAACATACTACTAACCCAGAATGCCAACCGCATGGTAAAAAGCGTTAAGTACTTTGAGAGAGCTTTGCCTGTCAATTCGTAGGCAGCACCACCAGCGTTGCTATGCTGAGTGCGTGGCAATGTTTAAAAACTCACTCTGGTGTACTACAAAGAACATTTCTAATATCACGGTTTACTATAGGCCTAAAATTATTTTTTGACGATAGATAACTCTTTAGCAGCTGTTTAAAACTATCGAAGATGGCCGCTAGCCTTTAAGGGCTCTAGGGAAAAGATTTAAGACATAATGTCAATAAATAAAATAAAAATAAATAAACTGTTCATCACAGTTTATCAGATACCCTAATGTTTAAATCAAGCATCTTTTTTATACTTTTAAACAACATAAATTTGGGTGAAAGGTTGTTGAGTGCCTGATTGTTAGTACACTTTTAAGAATCCATTTGTTCCATTGTAATTTTTATGGGGGAGCCAGCTGGTCTAGTGGTTAGAGCGAGGGACTTTTGTCCCAAAGGTCCCGGGTTCAAATCCCTCCAAATCACCAATGGATTTTATCCAAGTGATAATGCTGCAACCACTTGGTCTAACCTGAAGTAATGTGAAAAACAATCTCGGGCTCATGCCTAGCGTCCAAAGGACAAAAAAAGTAATTTGTTTAATGTCTGAAGGTTTACCTTAAGTTCAAACAAAGAAGAATCAAATTCATTTTCTTGGAAATACTCTGGTTGAATTGTCTCCAAGATTTCACTGTCTGATGGTGCATTCTTGTTATCTTCAAGTGTTACAGTAGGTTTATCTTCTGTTGCATCAGGTTTGCTATGGTTTGTTTCAAATGATCTTGCAACTATTGGGACTTTACCAGGATTGCTCTGAAAAAAGTACCTAGTTATAACTTACAACATCCTGCTCAGAGATTAACTAAGCCAAGTAATGTAACAACTTACAATACTTAGTAATAGCCTACTGGTTGTACAGTTACCTGATGAATTGGGGTAAATGTTGACGCATTTACATTTTATTTAATGGGTTTCTAATAAACATTTCTAAGCATGTTGGATCCAATTTCAAATTGGAAAATCCAATTCCAGTTTGTTTTTTGTTGCGATAAGTTACCCCCTGAGTGTCCTAAACAAAATCAAAGTTTATTAATTTTATTAAGTTTTTATTTCAATTAATTAATGCATAATGCAATGGTCCCAATGCAAATTTATGGTCGTCAGTCTTATAAACCACTAGCTGGTCCGACAGACATCGTCCTGTCCTTATGTGGTTTTATGTCAAATGCTCGTTCATTTTCAAGATGAGCTAATTCGCATGGCTCAATCACGTCCTGGTTGAAGTTCGTTCGCCACGCTCACTCACCTTTACGTTGGAGCTCGTTCGCTGCACTCACTTGCCTTCAGATTAGCTCGTCTCCACGATGAAGTTCGTTCGCTACGCTCACTCACCTTTTAGTTGCAAATAATTAGCTGTTGTCATAAATTAAAAAAAAAATAATAGTGCTGCACCCTGTTGGTAACCGTCGTAACCGCTGGAGGTTAGTTGCAGCGCATGCTTAAAGCGGTCACGTATCACTAAAACTACCATATCTCAGTTAATACTTGTCTAATCTTTAAAATTAAGGTGTCAATCGGTTTGTAATAAAATTGCCTTAAAAAGTTATTCAGGTAAAATTTTTGTAAAATCAACGGTTTTCGAGTTATTTAAGAAACAAAATTTAAAATGGCCGCCATTTTGTTTTATGAATTTTAAAAATCGTCATAATTTTTTGGTAGCTTTGTCTAGTTGTCATAAATGTTTGTGCAAAGTTTCAATTTCGTATGTTTAACCATTCCTTAGAAAAAAATTAATAACTTAAAAAAAACAAAATGGCGGCTGTGTAACTAAGGACTTCCGGACAATTTAAATATGATATTTAGGTATGTTAACTACCCAGGAACAATGCCCTAAAATATTGGTAAAGAGTTCCGGGAGACTCTGTATATAAAATCCAATGTAGGCTATGTTTGTTTGTCCTATGGACTCTGAAACCGCTCGACAGATTGTAATGAAACTTTCAGGTATTATTAAGCATTATTCAAGGATGGTTTGTGTGAAGTTTGGTGCAGATCCGTCAAAAGGGCTCTGCCCCAGTGGCTATGGAGTTTCCCATGTTAACCTTATGAGTATTCATATTGAAATGGAATTAAAGAATCTTAACAGCTGGTTCAACTAAAGAATTTGATTCTGTGATGTTCAATAGTATTAAAAATGTAATAGGTTTACCAACAGGGTGCAGCACTATTATTTTTTTTAATTCATCACAACAGCTAATTTGCAACCAAAAGGTGAGTGAGCGTAGCGAACGAGCTAACCTGAAGGCAAGTGAGCACAGCGAACGAGCTCCAACCTAAAGGTGAGTGAGCGTAGCGAACGAACTTCAACCAAGACGTGATTGAGCCATGCGAACGAGCTCATCTTGAAAATGAACAAGCATTTGACATAAAACCACATTAGGACAGGCGACGTCTGTCGGGCCAGCTAGTTCCATTTAAATATGAGTACTGTACTCATAAGGTTAACATGGGAAACTCCAGAGCCACTGGGGCGGAGCCCTTTTGACGGATCTGCACCAAACTTCGCACAAACCATCCTTGAATAATGTTTAATAATGCCTGAAAGTTTCATTACAATCTGTCGAGCGGTATCGGAGTCCATAAAGGACAAACAAACAAACATACATACATTGGATTTTATATATATAGTCTAGATGAACTAATGAGCTAGAAATGTTTGCACTAGGCCTATATTTTAACTAGGAGTATGTATGGTTAAGTGATCAGATGTTGGCCATAAAAAGTTGTATCAGTTCATCAATCAATAAGTTTAATTAGACTTGGGCCTTACAACTAACATAGGTAACTTAGATGTGGTTTGCATGCAGCTAATTAGACTAGGCATAGCTAAATGTAAGGTCTACAGTCGGAGTGAATTAAAAAAATATATTATATACATACTTGCTTGGAAATAAATTCAAAAATCTTGTGTTTGATATCATCCATAACGATTCTTCAAAACAGAACTAGCCTATGTAAGTTAACTTACTTAACCAAATATTTTGACAACACACATGAAAAGCGAATAGGGAGGCAATACTAAAAGAAATCAAAACTATATATTTTGTAAATGTTTAAACATAAAATCAGATTACGATGCATATACACGGACCATCTAAGGTAGATTAATTTAATTGCTAAAAATCGTTTTCTACTATTCACAGTTGTCATACAAAGTAGGAGTTGAAGTTTGACAAGACAATTTTGACAGACAAGACAGACAACAGACAGCACAGCAATGTAAAAAAAGGATCGGACAAAAGAGAGAGTCACAGCAGTTTAAAATTAGATACTAAGCAACAGGATGTACATCGATGAGGCACCGATTTTGCAGTTTTTGCACACATTCCATACGTTAGTCGTGTGCTTAATATGCTATTGATTGATACTAGCATAGACTAACCAACAGAAAATAAGTATGTTTTATCTATGATACCAGCAATGTAGCATTAATAAATAGGACCCCTGGACCTGATAATAAGTATGAATTTATTCTGAAAATGAAAAATATATTCAAAAACCCTTGACTAAGCCTACGTGTGTATGTGTAGGTAGACTTAATGCATTTTGTGTGTGTCTTTTATATATTTTATACTATTTGCATTGGCTATATATCCTGCATTATTGAGTAAACATAATCAATCACGGTCTAATCAATGATATGTAGTACATGTATATATCTAGAAGAGATAATTCATTCAATTCATGTAAATGTTATTTCTTTGGTTTCATCATAACCATAAAAGTAAATTGAGTTTTAAATCTTTCCTGCTAATTCTTGAAAATGAAACAATAATTAATTGTCAACAAAAATCACCAACATATTATAGTATGAGACTCTGATACTCTCAGATATGAAATTAGTTTTATGTTTGTCAGCCTGCAAATTCCTATTCCTCGTCCTCCTCCATTTAATTTTTCCTTCTTCTTTTCTCTCTCTCCAAACTCCTTCAATTCTCCCTGATCGCCCTCGACTCGGAGTTTCCTGTAGTTATTTTACAATATTTATTAAATTACCTAAAATTACAAAATGACTGTTGCAATTTCCGTGAGCTCAGAGAAGGGCGTGAAGGATTTAGATGCGTATCTAAGTGAACGCAGCTACATTCAAGGGTGAGCTGAGAATATAATAACCTAACCTCCACGTGGACGTATTTAGGTTATCTAGCGTACTATAATAGCCCAAAAGTTGATAACATTTTGTAAAAATGGTGTCGGGTGTGTTGTTATATTAAACTGGGTTCAAAAACGTAATCATACAGTGAACAGTGTTACGCTATCTTTCATAAATCATAAATTAGGTATAGGCCTAGGCCTCTATTTAAAATATTATGGCCACCGTTCTTCTGTAAGACTCAATTTGTTTTGTGTTTTGAAGGTGGAACTCAACCCCTATTTTTAGGACCCTAGGTCAAATTATGTGGTACCCTGAAGTTTGAAAGGGTACTGTTTCTTAACTGGGTTATGCTAATATCGATTAAACTTAGATTAGTAAACCTTCATCCGATTTTTAGGTAAATCGTAACTTTCTAGACTCATCTTTTAAACCTTCCCAAACCATTCCTACAAAATTGAAATAAACAATAAAATATCTTAAAAACATTTTTTGAGGGGCGGAAAGATTGCAAATTTTGAAAATAAGTTATACAAAGCTACGGTACTTTGTAAGGCAAGTGACAGCCGGTCTATGTGTAAGATTACATAAATTGCATGCCTCGGTCCGTGGCAATGATTGTGGTGTCAAATATATGCGACGCTTGGTAGCGAACGTGTTAAAAAAGACACAAATCTTGATCGAAGCAACAATCATCAAAGTTTACAAGAGGAATAGGCCTAGTTTTAATCCCAAGAATATTGATGATTTCATCCAAATTAGGCCTACCCTTTGAATTCAAGGGGCTACAATTTCCTTCGCGTCTTGCTTTCGAAATCACAATTATAAGGCTCACGGGTAATCCCTGACTACCGCCTGTTAAAATTTTGAAATGCATGCTTTTCACTCGGACAGCTGTATGTTACGTGCTCACGTGGTGGTAGATACACCTAAAAACTTCTATATATATACCTATAGGCTTACACCTAACGAAAAAAAAACATTGTTTATCCACTGGCAAATTAAGTAAAATACCGTTTTCTATTTGTGTTTTTGGTATACATTTCTATTATTTAAATCCTAAAGAACAAATTACCATTTAAAAAACGAGGGTGGTATGCCGTTATAGGCCTACTGTCTAGACGCATAAATGAGCGAAGCATTATTTAAAGATTGTCAATGGTTAAAGCAGCTAACAACCTACAATATGTTCCCTTTCAACAGATTCACCGTTCGTTTGCCCGATATTATTTAAGTTCTAAATAATGACAAATTTAACTGATGTTCATTTATTTAGTTAAGAATAAGAATTGATATAAGGTTATTAGACATATGTATTTGACATTTCGTTTAAACGGTCAAGAGCTTCTTTCTTCTTTGCCCAAGATCCGTGTCTGTTAATTGACATCAATCGGTCTAGTGAAAATGGTGGATCCAGAAGCAGGCCTTCAAATGTCTTAACTCTTGATAGGCCTACGTAGGACAAACCTAAGCCATATTCTGATAATCCAATGTCCACTTTTGCATTATTGGTGGCCTTTGAGGCATGCTCAAAACAAATATAGCAAAACTGTTAGGCCTACTTCCATTGATAAACTGTTACATTCCAACTTTAACCTAGGATAAAAGTAAACATTGAAATATAAACAAAACAGTTACAAACAAATAACATATTATGTTTATCTTATTTAAATGAAACGAGATAAACCCTTATGTCATAAACCCAATATAATTTTTCTTTCCATTTACATTAAAATAACAAGCGAAATTGCGTGACCCGTAAAATAAAATCCAGAAGGAAATTTGCAAATATTTTTTACCATAAACATTGTGCTCAGTATTCTTTAGCTGTTGGCCAAATTTCATATCAATTGGTCAAGCCATTACATTCTGATGCACTTTCAAAGAAGTTACAAAGTGAGGGAAAGTGAGCTTCGCTCAACTAGGGTGGTCTGCCGTTACACTTTAGACGCATAAATGAGTGAAGAATTATTTAAAGATTGTCAATGGCTAAAGCAGCTAACACCCTTCAATATGTTCCCTTTCAACAGATTCACCGTTTGTTTGCCCGATATTATTTAAATTCTAAAGAATGACAAATTTATCTGATAGTTCATACTGTACCTTTGTAGTGAAACTGGCCATTGTAGTAAATGGGCATAGCAGGATGTACTCGTGCAATCAACATTTGTTCTACAATGGTGAGGGAAAGTGAGCTTCGCTCAATATTAGTTGTTAGCGCAGCAACGCTAGTAACTGCTAGTAAATTAATAAAACTAATAACAATACCGTATTTCACAAAAACATATTCAATTTTTAATACTGTTGATGTGTGGTAACCTCATAGGCTAGAAATCCAAAATTCAAGGTTTCTTCCACTTTTATTCTAAACGAGCTGTTGGACCCGTCCTACGTACGGGAATCGAGTAGTCAATTAAAACTGAATATGATTCAGAACAGCTAGTTTACAACTTGGTGGCCGATTCACACACACTGGCTTTGAGTACAGTAGCTACATACCACCTTCCACTGCATGGGCCTACTATCACTTACCGTACCTTATTTTATCACCTTGGCCACTGAAACCTCTAAAATGATCCTGGCCTCCTGGCTCTTCTATCCCCTGCCATTTCTGGATGACAGGAAGACGGGAAGATACCAGTCTGAAGATGTCTTTCATTACTTGGTCTTCCAAGTGGTCGTCTACCTTGCAGTACTCCTTGGAATACACTTTTAAAAGTTGAAGTATCTTCTCTGCGCCATGCAAAGCCTGCCCAGCCCATCCGAGATCCGAGCCTTTTGGTCTACTTTTGGAATGTACCCCTTTATCAAGTTTCTGAATCATACAGTACTACTGGGATAGTTATGATATGGTATGAATCGATTTTGGTTTCTACTGACACCCTGCAGCTTACTGGTCAGTTTTCTGGAGACCTACTACACCGGTTGACATTTTCATTACAAATAAAATGTGTACTGTATGCAGTCATGCTCATATTCAAACATCTAGAAAAATATTAATCAAGACGTAAACCACTTATATCTTAAAGGATTAAGCACTTATACTTAGACGGATTACATTTATGACATAACTTGATTATACGTTTAAAAGGTTTAGTTCAAAATTACACAATCTCCTGATACCATAGATCTTTTTACGGTAGAAAATAAACTGCATTTTTAAGTAAAATATCGTGTAGGCAAACTCTGACGATCAATATTTTTGTATACAAACAACTTGTAACATAAACATTTCAATGACAGTTAGAAACCAGCTGTTAGTTAAACCACCACCAAAACGGCTTTAACTCGTCCGTCGGCTGCTAGACTTTTTGAAAATTAAAACTTAATTTCTAAAAAACTGAAACCTTAAACTAAAATTATGGCTTCGACATTCCCTAGTTCTCAAAATTATCTTTCTTTCAACACAAAAATCATAAAAATCCGTCAAGTGGTTGATTCAGAAACGTGAAATAAAAAAACCCTGTTTCGTTTTAATATATAGGATAAAATATGCCAAGAAAAAAACTAAGGATGAAATAAAGAAAAAGCTTTATCACGGGTTCTCTGCGGAACTGTGCCCCTCATATGGTTTGTGAGTGTTTCAGGGAATCAAACTTGTCTTTCTAGTCACAAGTCTAGCAACACACCCATTATAAGCAACGCCTTATTATACTAGTCTAAGTACCTACCTGAAAAATCTCATCATTTTGCTATCTGCGGTTGAATGAATTATAACTTTTAGACATTTTGCATAGGCCTATGAGATCCCTTTTTTCAGATTTTCGCAAGCGAGCTCTTGAATGAACATAGCCCATGGGCTCATTGGTTTCTTGAAGTTTTTGCAGATTTTATCATTAAAAGGTTACTTTTCTCTTCAGTTTATTTAACTTATTATGAGTTGTTGGCTGTCAACATTTTCCTTTACTTGCCTATTTTTTAATTTTAGATACCAACCAACCAATGCTGATGTTGCTGTTTTTGAGGCGTTTTCCAAGGCTCCAACTTCTTCTACCCCTCATGCTCTAAGATGGTACAATCACATCAAATCCTTTACTGCAGATGAAAAGAAGAAGTTTACTGGTGATAAGAAAATCCCAACAACATTAGGAGCTGGAGCTGCATCTGCACCAGCCACTGCCAAGCCCGCCGCGAAAGCTGATGATGATGACGATGTCGATCTTTTTGGCTCAGATGACGAAGAGGTAAATATATATCACTAATTAATTCATCTGATAGGTAGTAGGTCTAGCCTATAGCATGTTTGATTTTTGGATCATGATGATAGGTGATAATTTAAGTTGGCTATCAAATTAACAAATAAAATGTTCTTTTTTGTCATATTTTACATTGGTTACAGTATTTTTCAATAGATTTTAATGAATTTAATAGGCCTATACACTGGGAACTCACACCGAATTATATATTCGGATTCAGTAACTTATGATTATTTCTTAACCTTTTACATGCTGCTCATAAGTCAATATTTTATTTTCATATTAATTATTTAATAATCACTACTTTTACTGTACACATAGAAACATAATTTGTCTAGATTACAGGCTCAACGTTTTTCCCCCTTGCCTACTTTGTTGGCCTTTATACAGGAGTGTACAGAATACTTTAACACTTAGAACGTGAGAGGTCCTAACTCAAACTCATATGTTTTTTGTCGGGGAATCGAATCCACTGGGCTAACAAGACACCAAAATGTATTTTAAAGTTTAAATGTATCAGAACTGTCTAGCATTAAACAAACAAGTTGTTTGTTTACTTGTTTGTTTAATGCTAGACAGTTCTGATACATTTAAACTCTTAGTGTTGCGTAGCAGTGGGGATAGCGCCAGAGTCTAGGCCTACACACAATATGTGTTAAGCTGCTTAAGCCTAAGTACCATGCTTTTTCTACAATAACTGCCGTGAAGTGTTAAAAACTAAATGGTGGAAAGCTAGTTTTATGTGATAGAACCCACTTAAGACATGTATTTTCCCAAAAGTCCCCGTTTCTCCATTCTCGGCTTCAACATTCCTGCCCATTCCCCCCCCCCCAAACCAAAAGCACAGTGGTTTGAAACATTATTGGCTATACAAATATGTATATTCAAATTCTATGTACGCTATCGTGTTGCAATTTCTTTTCAATTGTTAAGTTTCAATATTTTTCATGTATCCTTCAAGAACCTGTTAAATTTGTTCAAAATTTGTTTGTTAAATTTAATTTGTTCAAAAGAACGTTGGTTACTGGAACTGGCTATTGCAATATAAATAAATATTCATATACAAATATAAACTCACTAACTCAGTAAGTAGTGTTCACTATCGATTAGAAATGTTCATATTGAATGATTTTGGTCACCACAGTTTTCACGGGGTGAAATGTTTCCAAACAAAGTCGCCTTCACTAATAATACATATTCTTATTAGAATACAACACAAATGTTCTTAAAAGAATCAAAGTAGCATACAGGGTGAATAAAAAGTCAAGACTCTAATATTATTCTATTCTAAGTAAATATACAGAGGTATCCTTTTGGGGTTGTGCAATCTTAGCAGGAAGTTTCATTTTATGATTTTTAAATTTTAAAATGCCTCAAAAAGGGGGGATTTTGGGGGCAACTCAAAAATTTTAAATGTAAACCCCCTTCAAGTGACACCTCATTTTAAAGTGTTTACAAAAACTTAAAGAATGGCGAAAACCAGAGTTTGCTATTTCATCTCTTTCCAAAATGTTAGTCTGTCAGATGTTATGGAAAATCAATGGTAATATTGGTTCAAAATTGTAATATTGGCTAACATTTTGGACATATTGCACGACCACCTAAAAGATAGCTCTGTATATTTACTTAGAAAAATATTAGAAGGGGGGTCTTGACTTTTTATTCACTCAGTATAATTACCATATTACATCTCAATAGTATACTCTATTGTTCACTGCATACATAACATGATAACTAACCCCAATGCCCGCGTGGGATAAAGTCTCCTGACAGTATACTGTGCTGACTTGATATTAAATCTACCATTACAAAACTGACCCTTTATCAAATTAGACTTCAAGATCGTCACGTACTTCCTTTTTAATTTAAAATGAGCCTGGGTAAAATTTTCTCCATGTGGGCATTCTAGGGTGGTGATACATCTCTTTTTGGTCCTGTGACCACTCCAATCCCAATGTTGATTTTTGATCTAGACGTTTAGTGACCTCCAGACGTGTCTGTCCTCTATCATCATTTCTACTCGTCCTAGTCCGCATACGTCTTCAACCATTTGGTCATCTTACATTAATCTTTTACTTCCCAGTGAGTAAAAGATTACAGCTGGGGTAAAAGGGTACAGAGGATACAGGGTAAAAGGACTGGGGTACAGAAGGGGTAAAAGATTACCCCTTCTTTCTAATCGTTAATTATCGCTTTTGTTCAGGACGCAGAGGCAGCAAAGCTGAGAGAAGAGAGGCTGAAGGCATATTCAGAGAAGAAGTCCAAGAAACCTGCACTCATTGCCAAGTCCAGCATCGTCCTGGATGTCAAGCCTTGGGACGACGAGACCGACATGAAGGAGATGGAAGCTAAAGTCAGAACCATCGTGAAGGAGGGCCTTGTTTGGGGAGCATGTAAGTAGTTCTAGTTGTGAATTGACTAAAATTCATTGTTTTAGGATAATCAAATTGACTATTCACACGTCAAAATGACGTCACAACCTGTTCCCGTTCCAATTCCAGTTCCAGTATTGCAAAATAAAGCAACAGTGACTTCTAGAAGCCACATTGAATTACTAATATTCACATTAAATTTCGGTGAAGATGGAGGTTCCTTTAAAATTTTGCTATTTTGAAGCGTTAAAGAACTTATTTCCAAAAAAGAAAAAGACGAGTATATTCTGTTAAAGATTGAATGTTCTAGACATTCGATGGAGCGTGAAAGCCATTTCTGCTATCAAAGAGAATTTTTGAAATGTTACAGAAAGTTTTGTTAGGTTAGGTTAGTTTAGAACAGTTTCATTTCATAATCAATATATAGTTGCGGGCAGATAACGTGAAGTTGATTCCATACATTTCGGCCAATGAGGTTTAGAGGGACTACCGTTCCCATCTTGATGGTAGTAGCTCCAGTGAGGACCTGGAGGACTGACGCGGAGAAGGGTTTCTTGTGAACAGTTGTTGCACAAGAGTCAGTCGACCCTAAGTCCTAGGAGAAATCCTGTCGATGGGTTGCCAAGGCATTTAAAAATGAGTTCAAGATACCTACTAGGTTTTCTTTGTGTGCAATCTGTTCTCAAACAGTTATAAAAGTAGCTGGATTAGGAACAAAATGTGGCGTCATTTGGAACAGATGTGCGCGGTAGCGGCGCATGTCTGACAAATAGCCCCTGCCTATTTTAATTTTGTCTTTAATTTTTCTTGTTAGTGTTTGAGGAAATGATAATCAATCAAATTTGCTAATAAAACAGCTGGTCTTATTATTACATCAGTAACAAGGCTACACCGATCGTTTCACTCCATTCTACATTTTCTTCTAAGTCACATTTTGAACACTTCATTGTCGAATAGTTCTGAATACACAATTTGCATCTTTTCTTTGTCTCAGTTGGAAGTGGCCAATGGTCGACACCGTCACACCTTACTTCATCAGCAGGCCTTGCAGAATACTTGTACTTCTTGGGTGCATTCGCTTCTGGAGAATCAACGCTTGGCCTTCCTCTCTTATTTTGTTTAGTTTTTCCCTCTCCGCTCTTAATTAAGGCTTCAGCAACTTGTGCTTTGAATACAACCAGAGATTTAGGTTTAGTTTCTGGCTCTAGTTGCTTCAAGTGCCTCCTGTAAAGCAGTCAAGCGTTCACCACACTCATATCAACCATATGGTAAAAGATCCTCAAATATGGCTTGTTTACTCTGAAGCTGTTTCGATAAAGCTCAACAAGCATATCATGGAGGTCTACTCCACCCATAGACGCATTGTATTCTCTAACAGTGGCAGGTCTTGGAACTAAGATTCGTTCACCTGCTGAAGCAGACCAGCGTTCTACTTCATCAGTAGGATTGGCTCCTGAAAACGTTGACAACAAACATACAAGTTTGTTATCAACCCACTTACAGGCAACTACTTTGTTATCAGTATCAATTTTCACGTCATTAAACCCACGACCTTTCTTCTCAAGCTCTTTATCGGATGGAAATGGACATCTGCCACTTCGATTTTCTCTTACTGTTCCTAGAGCTAATAAGCCTTCTTTCTTCAGCGCGCACATTAGTTTATGTGAGTTAAACCAGTTATCAATGAATACTTTGTAGTTTCTATTTTTTGGGATGACTTCTACGAGTCTCAGCACAACATCTCCACTAATTCCAAGTTCTGTGCTGGGTAAAGTTCCTTTGCCAACATAGATTTTGAAATCATGGACAATACCTGATACGGAAGCCAAAGCAAATATCTTAATACCCCATTTATGGGGTTTCATGGGGTTGTATTGTCTAATTTGCGAACGCCCTTTGAATGGTATAGTGATTTCATCAACTGCACTCGTATTTTCCACATCCACTTTTCTCATATTTTCTTTTATCGCGTCCACAAACGGCCGAATTTTAAACAGCCTATCATGGCTAGGGTCATTGCCGTTAGGTAGATTTACGTTATCGTTTAGGTGCAAATTTGTTTGAATGCTATCGAAACGGTTTCTTGACATAACGTCTGCGATTGGTGGGTACCTTGTGCCTGAACTCCAGTACATTCGGTAGGATGGCATTTTGATTATACCACCAAGGAGATTTATACCAATGAATTCTTCCATTTCAGCCAATGTAGTGTTGATAGAAACCTCCCTTTTTTGGACTGAATATAAATTTTTTTGTTCAACGATATTCTCCATTATGTTATTATAAAAAAAAGTGTTAAAATACTCCTTTGGGTAAAGCACTTTCTGTGGTGGGGGTGCCATTAATGAATCAGTATGAAATTCAGGAAACTCTTCATCCTCAGTCAAAACTTTCCATCGTTTGATTTCTCTTTGCTTTATCCATTGATTTTGTTCTTTTTTGGTAAGCCTTCGCAGAAGTAGTATGTTTTCGTTCGGAAATATTTCCTCTTCCAGGATTTGTGCCATGGCATCGCGAATTTGCCTCACATCTTCATTGCTTGTCCCACCTTCATCATCATTAATTCTTGCATCTGCTGTTTCTTCCTCGTTGTCGTCTTCCGTTGCATTTTGTGTTTCATCTGGATGAATGTCGAGTTCTTTCATCATTTCATCGAAGTCTTGGAGCCTGGCCTCCAAAACTTCTTCCGTAACAAGTATTTTGTCTTCGGGTTCATCACAATCGTCAAAGCCTTCAACATCAGATAGGTCCCCTCTCAGAAGTTCGTCTATTTCAGACCTAGTGTGATGTTCCATTTCCAAAATCTGCAAAGAAACACATTTTTAGAATGATTTACTCACTTATCATCATAAGAAACAATGGATAAAATGTAGTATTTTTGTCCAGAAAAATACTTTATTCCATCAAATAATGAAAAATAATAGAGACAATTACAAACCCAATGAGTAAAATATTACTCAGTAACTAATCACCCCAATGAGTATTATTTTCCTCATTGACTTAACCTATCTTCCCGAAGAGTAATATTTTACTCATCTATAAAACCTAACCTATACGTTAACCAACATGTGTTATCACTCTGAAAACTATTGAATAAGCATTAAAACTTAACAGTTTATGACAAGGAATTTTATTGTGCTTCTAAATATATAAGAACTTACCTGAAAAAAATCTCAAAAATCACCAAATGCACAGGAGCTTGAAATCGATGTTTTTGTAACTGAGAACAACAAAACAACTTAAATGGTCACGTGAAGATTCCTACCACTGCTGCCAACGTGTTCAGCACTAAATTTACCTCTTAACCGTATTTTAATAATCATTGGGAAAATAAACCATGTTATTTAATAACAAACAAAACATGAGTAAAAAAATACTCGGTGGGAAAGAAAGGGTTTTAATGATTGATAGCATGGAGAGGATTTATTTCCTGAGAATTTTAAAGATTAATAAATATATATATATCTAGGTATTGGCCTATTCACTTTAAGATACATCTTTGTTGAAAAATTCATAACAAAATATTTATTTTATAAAAAGGATGAGGAATTTACAGTTTAAGAAAGTGGTTTATTCAATATTTGGTTCTGCCAGTATATAATATTTGCATTTTATTTTCCTGTCAGTTTAGAGTGACTATTATTTTGATCTTTCCAGCAAAACTTGTTCCGGTTGGTTACGGTATTAAGAAACTCCAAATCATGTGCGTCGTTGAAGATGACAAGGTTTCTGTTGATGAGCTGACAGAAGATATCACCAACTTCGAAGACTTCGTACAATCCGTTGATATTGCTGCGTTTAACAAGATCTAATTAAAAATTGTTGTTTTTGAAAGACTGTCCATTTTATAAAACCTATGAACCCAATTAAACTACAGGGTCAGAACTAATATAAAATGTTTGTATCTGACGTTGGTGTAAAGTTTTATTAATAAAATATTTATAAATTGATTGTTTTATACTTATTTACAAATGAGCTAAGACAAATAATATTCTTAGTTTTCTGGGGTATTTTATAGAATCATAAAATATTGATTAATTTAATTAATTGAACTACAATGTTAAAATTAGAAAAAAATTCAGGAAGTTTCTATAATTCGGCTTATTTACATGAAATAAACATATGTTGTTTTATTTTAACTTACAATACACTATCTATCTGTTTCTCTGCAAATTATTCATTACATTTCCACTTCTAAGTGGTTTGCTCTGCGAGGCGTCACTACTACCTTCAGTATCCAATAGTCAAAGTTACTTCCCTTTGGTCAAGTAATTTGTCTCAACTTAGCTGAGATAGGAAATCAGGGCCCGCAAAATGGTTTAAGCCACACAACACTGTTTTGACGAACTTCCCACGCAAGGATTTAGTCCAGAAAACAGCTGTTTGTCGCCAGCTTAATCAAATGGGGTTTCATTGCGTACTACAACTGTACTGTAATGAGTTTTACCGGACACCAATCAGCTGATTATGCTGTATTTGGGTGACAATGAGTGGTTATAAACAAAAACATAACCTCTATGACTAATGATTTTTAGTCCTTTAATTGGTGGTAAATAATGATTTGTACAGATTTAGTAGTATGGCGTAAACTATCATACGTAACTCGTCCGAAATGTGTGTACCGGACTCGTATGGTTATCCTGTACTCAACTTCGTCTCACACGGGAACGACCACACTCGTAAACACTTATTTTCAGGATTAGCAACGTAATATACTATTTTGGGTCAATCTGATTAATCTTTTACAGGCATGGTTGCTCAACATTTTTAATTTTGATGAGATTTTAATAACATGGTAACTTTAGTGATATAATTATGCAAGTGCTAAAATAATGATTTCCCTAATTTCTTTAGCGTCCATTTCTGTTTGATTAAAACTATTCTATTATTTACAAGGTACACTATAAAACCACAAAAGAAGAAAACAAAGGGTGATTAATGGTTTACTAAACAAATGTTATTGTTATTATACATTACAGAACTCTATTCACAACTTTTAGGTGGTTATAGGGAAAAAAATCTATCTCCTCAACTTGAACTTGCCTTTAAAAAGTAGGCAACAGCTGAGGTATTCCAAAAGGTCAATCAGCTGCAACATATACATATGCAAAAAAAGTAGTGGGGGAACTTCACCCTCAAACCGCCTAAATTTTGTGAAAAATCTACAAGTCAGGGAAAAAACAAGGTCAGTTATAAAATGTGATCTGTTTTTCTATTGGCTTCAGGGGAAAAGATACTGATATTACTGAAACAAAGTTGCTCTGTTCCTTACAATTCTGTACGATTTAGGTAAATAGTGTAATGCTTGTCTTTTCATCACCATATTTATATTTTACACTTGAAGTCGGGACCTTGAAGTTTTGCAGTTGGAGGGAGGTGCCTATTTACCACGTGACTTCGAAGGAGCCAATGAAGACAGTGTGTTGTTGCCAAATCTAATAGTACCAGCTGATTTGAAAATATTGTTTGGTATTTTAATAAGCGTAGTCAACGGGCGATATGGCAACGTCACACTAGTCTTGTCTTGTGATTGGCTGCCACCAACTGCAAACTTCTGCAAGCTTTCGTGGTCCCGACTTTAGGTAGGTAACTAATAGTATTAGATAAATCACTGAATACCACAGGTCAGTCAATACTTTTGTATAAATCTTTATGCTTTATTTACACATTTGAATATATAAATATTAAGTAAACGTAGTATAATTAATTTTACAACTAGGGTAGTTTATAACTAAGGCTCCTGGTAAATTTTAACTTCCTACATAACAAAACTGAAGTATCAAGTAAGAAAATAAAGAGGTTGAAAACTTCAAATAATTTAATTTCATCTGATTTAATAGAGAAAAAAAATTAGATTTTTCACTCAACTAGGCCTACTTTGAATTCAGATATTTTGTTCATTCTATAAAACATTACATTCACATAATAAAAAAAAAACTGTCTATTTTATTTACAGCGAAAAGTAACATTTTTTGCATTGAAAAATTTTCCCCCTTTAACAACTTAATCTTCAGTATGGTTTTTATCGTTTCACCAACTGAATTGAATGTGTCTGTACTGTTGTTGTTTAAAAGAAAGCAGAGGTAGTGATTCACAAACTTCTTCCTAAATTATTTTTAACTCTGTAATGTTGTGAAAATGATCGTATGTGCGAAACTTTGAGCACTTCAAACTGCAGATTCCTGGTAGTCCCTTAACCACCTAAAATATTTATTTTATAAACAAATCAAACTAGCTTATAGTAATTCAGTTATAGTATAATAAGCTGCGGAGTACCAAGTATTTAAATAAAATTTATTTACAATATGATCATCTTAGCTTTTACATCCACTAACTTATTATTTAATAGTGATCAATGAAGTAAATTGTCTACAGAAGATGATTTTTCACTGAATCGTTGGACTCGGCACTGACTGACTGTCCAGTAGTTTACAGAGGAGGAGCTTGTGGAGGCTGCCTGTTGTTGCATTGTTGGAATATTCTGTAGTAAGCGTAGTTCTTGATCGGCACAGAGCATTGGTTGCCCCCGAGGTAATGGATTCTTGCGTAGTCGTCACACGATATTTGGCCATCACCGTTGCAGTCCTGTTGCGGAGAAAAGTTGAGTTGTAAAGAAATCCTAAATATACTGAGAAAATACAATAGACTTTCAGCTATCCTCGATTATGTCAGGCTTTAAATCAATTAACTTTCAAAATTCAAGATCTTGGCTTGCCCCCAGCAGTAAATGTGAAGAAAATTCAACATGTTTACATATTTTGAAATAATAAATAATATTTTATATCTTGGAAAATTCTTGCTGTATAGGTAATTTTTAATTTTTCAACTAATTACATACTGTACTATAAATTAGTTTCTTACCCGTGCAAAACGAGTCATATAGTTGAAGATGGTGCTTGTTGCACAGTTGGGGTCCATTGTACAAGACTCGTATGCTGAAATCATAGTTATAACTTAATAATTGTATTTATGTTCTGTGTCATTTGTTCTTTGATATAGTTATTTTTATTGGGTTAACCTAACTTTCCTTGGAGAAAAGAGCTGTACACTATTAAAGTTAAGGTCAACAAGATGTTGCCAAAGTACGATCTAGTAAGACTGCTGGCTGAGTAGCTGAGTGGTCGCTTAGCAATCAAGAATCAAGAATTTGTATTCATCGTTAACGCTATGTACAACACATGCAATGGATGAACGTCATATTAGCCTAAAGTTTACAGGCAATAAGGCTAAATAAATATAAACGATAAAATATAAACAAGTGCAGTGTACATGCAAAAAGTATCAATCAAAAGCTTAGCAAGCTTAGCTCATGCTTAGCAATCAAAAGGTTGCCGGATATATTTTGAGAAAAGTTAGTAGCTTTTTGATGGTTTGAAACTAAACCCAGCTGTTCCTGATCATTTAGTTGAGGGTTTAAGGTGCTGAGGTGGTTTGAGCATGCATAAAAGTGTGAAAAATTGACTTTTGATTGTTGTTATGGGTATCTAATAAATGAAGAAATTCAATGTTGTCGCAATCCTAGGTGGTTAATAACATAAGGTAGAGGGGGTAAATTTGGTTGAGCGGGGGGCTGCGGCGCACAAAATAGCTTATATATACCGGGTGTTTCTAAATGAATATCTGGGTTTTAACGCTTTATAACTTTTATACTATTAAACTTACCACCATAAAATACGCATCATACGAAAAAGCAACTCAAAGAGTTTATGCCTTCCAAAGACACATTATTTAACAAAATCGATCCAGCAGAACTGTTGATTTAATTGTACAAAGTTAAAAAGTAATCTCCAACTTTTTTCATCACTAGAAATTCGGAGGTTGCTTGATGTTTTTGCAAATAACTTTTAAATGGTGAGGAAATCGACCAAAGTGGAAGGTAATATTCCGAAAGAGAATAAAATTTCCTACAATCTACTATTATGCATTTCATGAAAATACTCAATAAATGTGGCCTAAATTTGGCTTAAAATAAAAAAAGTGTGAAATTTAATGTTTGCTATGTTTATTGTCTACATTGAAGACGGGGATTTTCAATTTTTTCATTTTTGAGGCAATCTTTGGTACCTTTCTTGAGTATTTTCAAAAAATGCATAATAGTAGATTGTAGGAAATTTTATTCTCTTTCGGAATATTACCTTCCACTTTGGTCGATTTCCTCACCATTTAAAAGTTATTTGCAAAAACATCAAGCAACCTCCGAATTTCTAGTGATGAAAAAAGTTGGAGATTACTTTTTAACTTTGTACAATTAAATCAACAGTTCTGCTGGATCGATTTTGTTAAATAATGTGTCTTTGGAAGGCATAAACTCTTTGAGTTGCTTTTTCGTATGATGCGTATTTTATGGTGGTAAGTTTAATAGTATAAAAGTTATAAAGCGTTAAAACCCAGATATTCATTTAGAAACACCCGGTATATCGAGAACCAAAAGTCATATTAATACATTAGACATGACAAACTGTGCAAAAAAATGCGTTCTAAAAAAGATTATGTAGTAGTTTGACGGAAAACGACGAGATATTAGTAAAACTTACATTTTTGTATTAACGATAAGTTTAATCAGGAATTCAGATTTTTGTTGTTGTTTAGAACCACTGTTTTTTAATAACGAATTTGGAGAGTAGTATACAGTAGAGTAATAATATTTCTGTACTATAAAACTATTACAATACATAACTTAACAGCTATACAATGCTCAGATCCAATAAACCTAAAGTACAGTACAAGGCAAAGGTGTAACATGCGTCACGGTCATTGCTCTAGCTAGGCACCGTGCACAAAATTACTTACAAGAACCAAGAGTTATATGAATACGTTAGACATGTCAAACACTGTGCAGAAAAATGTGTGCTACAAAAATAATTAAGTAGTTATACATTTTACATGATAGAGGTATACATTTTTGTTATTACCATTCTTGGACTGCCATGTGGCGCCGGGTAGGACTGGGGCACCGGCGTCAAGCCAGTACTGACGGCCGATGAGGAAGGGGCCGCATAGACCAGCGAAGCAGCCTATGGTCAGGTTACATGCAGACGAGGCATCGCAAATACAAGCCACACAGTCTTCTGTGAAGTCTGGCAGGAACACGTTACGAGCATCTGAAACCAAATAAAGAATTATTGACATACTGCAAGTGAAAACAGCTGTTTTCAATATTTGAGTCTAGCAGTAGGTGGAGAAGGCATATTCAATACATGTGTTCAGAGCTACATGTAGTTTTTAGATATTCTTTACCACAAAGGCAAAATGAATCTGCTGGAGTCAATGACATCAGTTGTAAATGCTGGAGTCAATGACATCTATATAAATAAAATTAAAGTTTTGTCTGTACATTGCTCAGAATCATACAATTTTGGTTATTTTTACGTTTTATACATTAAAGAAGCCGAAACAAGTCTCATATAAATTTCTGTCTGTCTGTCTGTCTGTCTGTCTGTCTTTCTGTCTTTCTGTAACACTCAAGATGGCATTTTACGCAATCTTCTCCAGGAAAACGAGAGTACCTATCAAGATCCAAGTCATTTTAATGTATTCACTGGATTGGCGAGAGTGTCTTTAGCCATTAAAATATGGACTCAATACTTTGTAAATAAAATTACGGACGTTCAAAAATGCAGTTTTGTGCGATTTTTGTCAAGTTTTCGTCCAATTTTTATCACATAATCGTCTATGAAATAACGAACAGCTGTTCGGATCAAGATTATTTTTTCTAGCTGTCACTGATATGTTAACAAATGTTGTTTACAAATACCGCAACCATTTCCGATCACGTTTTGAAGGCAAATCCCATCCAAGTGAGATTTAAAACGTTTTTCTTGCATAAAGGATTGAATTAATCGCAAGTGGAATAATATAGTGTAACCGTAAATTACATTTAATAACTAGGCATCATCCAGGTCAGGGACCAGAGATTCTTTGTGTAGAAAATTGTTCAGGAGTTTTGATAACCAGAAAGAAGACATTGAATCAGTGTTGTATACGGCTGGGAAACTTAAATTTATTTATGATCGTCTACCAATAGCTTGTTTCTACAAGGTTCCACTCATTGACGGCGCTTCAATGGCGGTTGTGTAAAGTGTAAAGTAAAAAATCACAACTGCAGTGGGTGATTGTAATAGAGGTTTACGGATGATGCTAAACTCGATTTTACAATGTATCACTTTCTGTTCCTACCATTGACTATATACAGTCAATAGTTCCTTCTCACCGTGTGATGCAATCGCTTGACCATACAGCCAATAGGCCCATTGCCCATCTCTTGGGTACGTACGCAGAGAGCACAGAAAAAACGTACGCTTACCCAATTATTTAAAACAACCTTTTAGACGACGATCCTTAATACCGGTACTTTTCCCTAGAATACACGGCCTACCTAGGTACTTAAGAAATAAAATTACAAACGTCCAAAAACCCAACGTTGTGTGATTTTTGTCACATTTCCTTCTAATGTTAATAGATATACCAATCATTATTTAGGGGATACGTAATCTATTAAATAAAAAAAGTTGTTGTATAACGTTGTTTTTTTTTTAACTGACACCGATAAGTTTCCCTTAAGAGTTGTTTACAAATAAAACAATTATTGGGAAATAACTTTGATTGCCAATAACTTTTTACGATAAAATCCAAAACCAAGAGATCAATAACCTTGATTAACGCATATAATTGGTCGGATGTACTATAGTTCCTAGCTGTAAACGTTGGTTTTTGGTATACGGTACTGGTTCTTTTCCTTTGAACCGATTGGTAGCAGCAAGAATAATTTTTATGTGCCAACACAACACTGTAATTTACAAATTAGTTATCGTTGGTGTTGCGCCTTATTTATTACAGGCGTATTCAATTTAATTGATGTCTTAACTGTATAATTTTTGCTTTTTCTGTCTGGATTCCAAAATGTTAGTTTATGCTAAGAAAACGATAACGCATTTTAGTCAAACATTTATTCAGCAAACCATGAATTGTTCAAACGCTTTGAACGTTGTTTATGTATCAATAGTTCGTGGCCTATTTTGGTAATTTTCATTATAAACTACCAATCTAAATCGTCTATAGATTTACTGTACTTCATTTCATATAGCAAACCGATTCATATAGCATTTCGACAGAATTTCGGGTCATCTTCGGTTCAAGCAAATATAAATTGTTATGATAAAATTTTATGACATTAACAAAGATTTCAAATACAAATTTTATATGTACTTTGTTATGCTAAAGCGTAGCAAATTCCCTAATTAAGTTCTGTATTTTTGTGTGTGTATGTCTGTTGGTAACGCATTAATGTCCTTATGTCTCAGTGTTTCAAGGAAAGGACAAAAGCACCTTGATAATGAAAATGTCAACCCAAATAAAGTGTTAAATTTTGAGGTTGAGATAGTACCTTAAATACTTTTTAACCATTGTGGAAAGTAGCTTTCAATTATAGGCCTACCTTAGGGCTATGTCTTATAGATATATAAAGCATTTTTTAGTTTAATCATTGGATTTGACATATGGACCAACACGACCCAGTTAAATTTAATTGCGAAGCTTTAGTTTTGGCTTGAAACTGTCAGATACTGTATTTGCGAAGGTTTATATATAATAGTTTTGTCAGCATATCTGAAAGTATACAAACCAACTGCTGTGCTTTATATAAGAAGGTTTTAACTGACTATGATAAGATCCCCGTGCGTAGAACGGGCACACAGCTAGTCAGTTGTAAATTAATGTTTCTGTCTTTAAACAATTTTACCGCTGACAAGTTCACTACACTAAAATATCTACACTAAATTACAAAGTGATGTCGTTGACTATTGGAAAGGTGATGACTAAAATCTTTTATAGGTCTCTACTTCAATTCTAAATTAACGCTACAGTACTTTTCAATTGATTAATGTTTTAAAAGCTTATACATTTTCAATATTCCCATCTAAAACGTAGAAAATAAAAAGAAATAACAAAATCTAATAACACTGTTGTTTATGAAGTGCTGATTATACTAGCCAGTAAGGAATTATACACAGGACTGTCCCATCGTAAAACCCAAGATTACTTATGCAAAGTATACACTATGCAACCAATATTGACTACACAATGTATGTAATTATGCTCAGTAGCATTGCATGATGTAACCAACCTTTTCTATTTCTAGTTCTCAGTGTATTTACTTTTGTTGACTTGTTCATAAGCTATTCCAATGTCAATTTTATCAATTTATTCAGATGAATCAGAACTTATAGCTGCTATTTGTTCATGTTACCTCATAAGTTCTGTGATACTGATGTCCCCTAGTCCTCCCAGGTAGGTGCATAAATAGCTTATCCCTTTCGTTGCTACTTAAGAAATTAATTAATCTACAATTCTCGCAAGATCCTCTAGCATTGTTTCTTAGCTGTCCATTCATTTCTTTTCATTTGTCCCAGGATAAGAATGATGTATTTCTAATGACATTTCTGTCCTTGACACCTGCTGTGATGCCTTCTTCAAAATGATATTGTCTTGTAACAATCAATTTAATGACTCCCGACTGTCTCAAACAATACGACCCCCTGGGACTCTCGGCTTGCTTTCGCTCCTAGGAATCATAGCGCTGTTGGTGTATGATGTCATGTTACATTGAGATTGAATGACAAAAGTTTAACATGTCAGCGTATTGTGCTCCAATAGTCCTAGCCCTGAGAATGGTTTAAGGCAAGTTTTTGAACTGTATTCAGCTGTCATTGGGCTTTTACAAAATGATCCGTTCTAGAAACACTGGTCTTAGTGAGTAACAAAGTAATCGTCCAATTAGTTCTACGATCGACTTTTGGATACTGATGTTAGACATCGCATCAAGACCAACTGCAGCTATTGGTTTTTATTTTATAAGACATCAAAGTGTGCTAGAGTCTAAAATTCCATTTTTTTATCTCGGTTTTAGTTTCTGTCATAGTTAGTGACATAAAAGATACTATAGTTTGCAATAAGTTCTTTCAATTGGTTAAAAGTTCACAACAATCTACCTACAGAAATCAGTAATGTAAATCAGCCCACCTTGTCAATTCAATTGTGTGCAATGTTGATTCCAAAACTAGCTACAAATCCACGGATGAGACCAAGAGTTCCATTCATAGTTAAAGCATAGATACTTCATACAGGTACTAATATAATTTTAATATTACTGCATTTGTGGTTAAAGATTCTAAACCCTTCACACTCACAGCCACTTAGATATCGTGTTTTGTAAGTTTGAAGAGGCGATCACAACAATGAGTTTTGTTTGTTGCATCACTGACAGTGATCTTCAGTGTTGCATCACTGTTCTGCCCACTACTTCCGCCGACGTCTGACCCAGTCTTGTTTAGTTGGTACACCTGTATCCGTTAAAACGATTACGCACCGTTGTCATAGAAACCTTCAATATCCAAAAGCCAATGATAAAACACACATATTCGTGGATCAGCTGGGGCCTGTTTCATAATAAACTACAAACTAATATTATTAGTAAATCAGCTGATTGGCGATTGTCCAATGCAGATCTAAATGTAAATTACAAGTTACAGCTTGTAACTTGTAGTTTATTATGAAACTGAGCCCTGAAAACAGTTTAAGGTATATTTATGACTGTTAAGGGCGATTTTGGTTATGAAATTGAATCCTTGTTTTACAAACTTAAAAACTGTTTAGAACGATTTCGTAAACTGTCATCTAATATTTTTTACAACAGAAGTAAAGCACACACTAAATACGGTAATTAAAAGAATCAAATCAAAATCAACCCATCTTAACTGCCTATTAAGCTATACACGCATAACCATCGTAATTATTACAACTTATATCCAACATCCAAGTTTAGCAATCAGCACGTAACAAAAGCAAGCAATGCACACAACTACAGCAAGCGAATGTTATTCTAACCTTAGATTAGGAAACATTTTGTCGACTAGCGTACAAAAGTGAAGCATTCATCAAACAAAATTAAAGACTTCCGATTATACAATAGGCTTACTAGTAGGATCGATAATCAAAGCTGGTAGTTGGACGTTGGTTAATCCAAAGATGAATCGATGGCGATAAATGAATTGAATCTTCCACTTTGTTACCAATCAGTAATCAAACTGATAACTAGAAGCCTTTT